CTCCGTCTCACCCCAGAGCTTTATAGGAAATCCGTTTGGCGTGTCGGAATATCAAAAGGGAAGATGACAGAGCAAATCTGAAATCAAGCTGCTGCTGCCTTCAATCTTACCTTCCGCTTCCCCGGGATCAGCCAGCGGCTATTTCCCTACCTTCAAAGGGAGCAATTTCCTCCGGTTTTACAGCTCAGCGTTTTAGGGGAGACACGCGGAGGGCTCACCGCTCACACGCGGCCGGATTAATGGGAATGAGCGTAAAAAAACACAGACCTGGGAGCGTCCATGGCAGCCCCCTGAGCGTGCCCGGGGGGAGGGAGAGAGCTGAGCCCGGCCCTGCCCGCGGGTAGCAGACGAGCAAATCAGGCCTGTCTGTATCCCAGTGACATGGAGGGGACAGCCGCCCCCGGGGGGGGGTGCCGCTGGCCTCAGCTTGCTCAGAGCCCAGTGCATGGGGCCCCTCAGCCACTCCCAGGTCGACCCCAGCTGCCTCCGTAAGAGGTACCTCCCCGGACTGCCACCAGGCGCTGTGGCATCGGACCCCGGTGAAGAGTGACCGACTCCATGGACACGGAACAGACTGGTCCCTGTTTACATGGGGGAGAGGGCAATGCAGGGAGCCCTTGCAGACAAGTCCGACTCCATCTTCCAGATTAATCTTTTCCCATCGTCCTCTGAAACAGGGTCAGGGAGAGGAGCATTCTCACTGTGACGAGCTTCAGTGAGAAAGTTTATCCAGGTGGAGGGACTGGTCCATTGTGTCAACTGCTACTGCTATGTTGAATAAGATGAGGTCTGGGAACTGACCTTGAAATGGAGCAAGCTGGAGGTCCCTGACGACCTTGCCAAGGTGAGTGTCAGGGAGCACTGGTGGACACCCGGGGCTGGGGTTAGAGCAGTGGTCGGCAAACTGCGTCTCGCAAGCCACATGCGGCTCTTTGGCCCCTTGAGTGTGGCCACGAAGTTTCAATCGTACTGTACGTGCACCCCCACATGTGGTATTTTGTGGAAGAGCCACACTCAAGGGGCTGCAGTTGGCCGACCACTGGGTTAGAGAGAGGGGAGGAGAGCAATTGGAGGTGTCACCTGCAAAGGACAGAGAAACCAGGCACTGCCAGGGGCCATGGGATCCGGGTAAGATGTGTGTGTGTGTGTGTGTGTGTGTGTGTGTGTGTGTGTGTGTAGGTGAGAGACATAAGATGCTGAGAATAATATAACAGACAAAAAACTGAACATTTAGAGAAAGGAGAGATTTGCTGCAATTATTCCTCAGCAAAGCAAAGCAAGTTCCCTGTGATTCCCTGACTGAGCACAGACACGCCACGGAGGTCATGGGCAGGGAGGGCAGAGTGCAGCAGGTGTGGGCACGGCAGGCAAGTATGGGAACTGCAGGCAGGTGTGGGAACTGAAGGCAGGTGTGGGCACTGCAGGCAGGTGTGGGCCTGTAGGCAGGTGTCGGCACTGCAGGCAGGTGTGGGAACTGCGGGCAGGTGTGGGCACTACAGGCAGGAGTGGGCACTACAGGCAGGTGTGGGCCTGCAGGCAGGTGTGGGCACTGTAGGCAGGTGTGGGGACTACAGGCAGGAGTGGGCCTGCAGGCAGGCAGATGTGACCGTGGGGTATTGAGATGCTTTCTTCTGGCCGGGCCAGCTGGACAGGAGGAAGGGAAGAAGCGTGGAGGCTGGGAGAGAGGAGAGGTCTACATTGTTCCAGGTGTAGAGGTCTACATTGTTCCAGAACCGACTCTGCACCCCTTCATGAGAGGGAGCTCAGGGCGGACCTCCTGTGGCCTCAGCTCTATTGTTCTTCACACCTCGGCTGCTTGCCCAGAGGAGCCACATGTGCCCGAGGAATGTCTGCAGGCCTTCAGTGTGTGAGAGAATTGAAGGCTGTTGCGTCAATCACTTTCTGAACAGGTAGGATTAAAAAGTCAAGTCTCTAGTAGAAAGATGGGTGAGGAGAAGTGTACCTCAAACACAGTGAATGCAGGTCCTCCTGACTGACCACGTGCATTAGTTCTAGACTATTAACTCCACTTTAGCCCAGACACACCGATGACCTCAGTGGTTCATGTACACTATAGAAAGGAAAGGCTATTTGAGGGAAATTACACCAGTTTTCTTCATCACGTATTTTTTTAGTTCAACACGGGCATCATGGAAATAAGGGATGCTAAAATAAAGAACTTAGGGGATGGAAATAATTCTAAAATATTCAAAACCTATGGTCTTGTTTAAACACACAATGTAGCTGGTGAGGATATGAAAGAAATTGTCTGGACACAGGTGACCTGAATTCTATCCATTGTAGCACAGTTTATAAAACCCAGTGAAACCCAGGTTCAAGTCAAAACTTTGCTACTGGTTAACTTTGTGATACTGATCCAGTGATTTAAACACTTTAAGCCTCACTTTCCTCATCTGTAAAATGGGAATAATGGTGATTATGAGAATTAAATGATTTAATATGTGTAAAGCACTTAATCTATAGCATAAGACATGGGAACCCACAGTAGGTGACTATGTAATGACTAGAGGCCCGATGCACGAAAATTCATGCAAGAGTAGGCCTTCCTTCCCCCATCTGCCAGCACTGACTTCCCTCCAGCATCCAGGACCAGGCTTCCCTCCTCCAGCTGCCCACAGGCATCTGGGGCTCATGCTGGCTTCCCTCCTCCGGCTGCCTGCAGGCACCTGGGACCCGGGTTGGCTTCCCGCTGGCCCCAGCTTTATCAGGAAGGATGTCCAGAATGACATCCAGAAGATGTTTGGTCTAATTAGTATATTACCCTTTTATTATTATAGATGATGGTAGTGGTGGTGGTGGTTTTGATGATGTGATGAAGATAAAGATGATGATAATGGTGATGATGGAGGTGAAGGTGATGATGGTGATGGTGATAATGGTGATGATGGAGGTGAAGGTGATGATGGTAATGGTGATAAAAGTGATGATGGAGGTGATGATGGTGATGGTGATAATGGTGATGATGATGGAGGTGAAGGCAGTGATGGTGATGGTGATAAGGGTGATGATGGAGGTGATAGTGGTGATGGTGAAATGGTGATGATATGATGATGATATGATATGAAGTGATGATAATGATGATGATAATGAAGAAGAGGAGGAGAAGGAGAAGATTTAAGGAGGATAGGAGTTTACTAATTAGAAGGCAGAGGACAGACCCCTGTGAACATGTAAGATTGAAATGTGAGTTTGTGCTGGGACCCTGTGGGGAAAACCAATAAGAAGAAAAGAGATAGTGGAAGAGAAAGAGAAAAGAAGGAATAAAGAAAGGAAGGAAGGAAGACAGAGTGGAAGGAAGGAAGGGAGGAAGGATGAGAGGATGGAAGGAAGGAAACTGGTGAAGAGGCAGAATCGGAGAATAATGCGAGGGCCAGACAAGGCCCCTGAGCGGAGCTGTGGGTCTGAGCAGGTCGGAAACGCCCTTCGCGCTGACCTAACACAGCTGTGCCTTTCATCAGGGGCCGCAGCTGCAGATGCAGCCTGAATCGAATTCTGTGCGACATACAAAGCCTGTGGGCAGGGGACCGAGGCAGGCATGGGAGGGTCTGCAGAGGCCTGTGCTGGCCACCGGCTCCTCTGCTTCTCCCAGGCTGAGCGTCTGTCCAGAGCTGAGCTGTCTGTCCAGGGCTGAGCCGCCGGTCCAGGGCTGAGCTGCCGGTCCAGGGCTGAGCTGCCTGTCCAGGGCTGAGCCGCCTGTCCAGGGCTGAGCCACCGGTCCAGGGCTGAGCTTCCTATCCAGGGCTGAGCCATCTGTCCAGGGCTGAGCCGGCTCCGGGCCAGAGGAAGCAGGGCTGAGGCCTTTCTATCCACACAGGCTGATGTACGTGCCAGCAATGGAGGTGTGGCCCATGCCCAGCGGGGAAGCCCAGCCTGCCCGTTGGACGGGTCGACTATATTCACAGGGGCCAATGCAGCTCCAAATTCACCTGCCTCGGGGCTTGGACAGAGCAGGACTCCTCCTTCTAAAGGTGCTCACTGAGCATGAAGCTTTGCGGTGCAGTGTGCGAGTTTATGCACGTCTTCCTGGGGAGGAGACCACCCTATTCCTCCTGTGTGCGTTCTGGGTGGTGTTGCCCTTGGTGGCTCAGTTTTGTCCCAGAACCGACTATGCACCCCTTCAGAGACAGCAATCACCTTCATTGTCAGGACCAGCCCAGAGCCCTTACAGGTCGCCTCTGCCCGGGCGGGGGACACGGGCCCTCGGCCTCCTGCAGAATCCGAGGTAACCCGCCCTCAGCCGCACATGAGGCCTGGCCCCTCTGCTGTCACCATAACACAGGCTATGTCTTCACTGGGGCTCGTTGGACAGTGACTTTTCCAGTGCACCCACTGAGGCTGGGACTCAACGCCCACAGCGCCCACGGAAGAGCAGCGCGGGAGGAATGCGGGCAGCGGGCGCTGGCCCAGCTGGGGGCACCCCTCCCTGAAGGCTCCCCCATCCCAGACCCCGCAAGAAGAGATGCATCAAGTCCTGCACTGTTAGTAACAAGCCCCCTTTTGCCTCTGATCTATTTTGTTTTGTTGTAAAAAACCCTGTGAACCAGAAAATGGATTATGTCCAGGTTGAGGGGAATGTCTGTCTGCAACCGTGCACGGGGCGCCCTGGCCCGTCTATCCAGCGACGTTCTGGAGACTTTTCAACTCCTCGGCCCCCGGCCCAGTGGTGGGTACAGTGAGAATAACAACATGAGGAAGCAAGAAAGCTCGGCTGTGTGCCTCCCAGGCTGGTTGCTTAGCAACATCTCACATCTCCCTGGGAGAAATCGTGGCTCCCGGATGTCACACGGAGGACCCGTGTCTCATGAGGGAGCAGCCCTACTGACCAGATACACGTTTTCCTAGAACAGTAACAGGATGGCCACAGCCAGAGCGCAGTGGGGCCACTTCTACAGTCAGACAGAGACCAAGAGGGGCGGCAGGAAGGCCAGGCCGTCGGCAAGTGGCTGGGCGTGGGGAAGGGATGCGCACGCAGGACTCACCGCTTATCCACTTGGCCTCCGGGTCGTGAACTTTGAACTCCTTACTGAAGAGATCGTCCACCGTGACCTTCTTCTTCTGGGAGAGACTGTTATCTTCCACTAGAAAACAAAGGAGGCGATGTCACACTCTCCGCGTTGGTGAGAGAAGGGCCATAGGTCATTCCGGTGGCCACTCGGGAACAGCACGTACGGTAGAGCATCTGAGGTCCACCAGTACATGCCCGACAAAAGCCAGTCACACTTTGATTTTAATTAAACCATCAGAGATGACTTGGTGGGGAGGGGATCCTGCGTCACTGACACGGTCCATTTCGCACCCCCTGCCTGCCACCTGTGAGGGCCACATCTCCGAGGTCTGCACGAAAATACTGTCTCCAGATGGAACGCCCCGGCGGTGGCTCGGTTGGCTGGAGCAGCATCTTTGCACTGGACGTCCATGGTTTGATTCCCAGGCCGGGCACATACCTACTTAGACTGCAGGGCTCATGCTGGGAGGCAAGCAATCAATGTTTCTCTCACAGCAATGATGTTTCTCTCTCTCTTTTTCTCTCTCTCCCCTTCCTCCCTCTCTAAAACCAATTTTTAAAAAGTTAAAATAAAGGACTGATTTATGAGCAATATGGTGGGAGTCGTCAAAAGAGGGATGAACAAATGTCTAAGGAAGGCTCTCTGCTGGGTTATGTAATTGATCATTCTTAGGCATTTATTAAATGCCAAGCACAGCAGCGTGGTGGCTGCGGGGTGAAAAGACGGCTGACATCTTCCTTAGGCATTTCTTCTCCACACACCCCACCCCAGCTGCCTACAGCTGGGGATGAGCTCCTGTTCTGGTAGATTCACACCCCGATGTCTGCGTGCACACTGCCAGTGCTGCCTGCACCCTCGATCATGAAGCTTGGAAGGAGGTGGCTGGGCCAGTGGTTCCCAACCTTGTTTTGGCCATGCCCCACCTGAGCACCTCTAAAATCCTGATGTCCTCTTACCCGCATGACATATAATCCTTATTATTCAAAAAGTGAGCTCCTATTCATGTGGAGGGAGCCTAAAAGGCCATTCACTTGGTCTAAACAAGCTTCCAAAGAACATGGCATCCATGAAAGAGAAAAAAAAAGAAGAAAAAAAGACAGTTGAAGTACTGAAGAAGAAATCACTAAGAAATTGTTTAAAAAAATATGAAGTGATATGAAAAAATAGCAAGTCAAGTTTCAAATATATAATAGAGAACTGAAGTGGATAAATATGTCACAATATCCTATCTAATAAAAAGCTAATACGCAAATTGTCCTCTCAGGAGTTCAACTGGGAGACCGGGAGTTCAATCACTCGCTATGACATGCGCTGACCCTCAGGGGGCAGTGCAGGTCATGGTGGGCGATCAGCTGCAGTGGCGGGTTTCTGAGGGAGTGAGGGAAGGAGGAGGCCAGGAGGCAGGGAACTTGATCGGCCCTGATCGCCAGGCAGGCCTAGGGACCCTACTACTAGAGGCCCGGTGCACAAAATTCATGCATGGGCATGGTCTCCTCAGCCCAGCCTACACCCTTTCCAATCCAGGACCCCTCGGGGGATGTCCGACTGCCGGATTAGGGGGATCAAGCCTAAACTGGCAGTTGGGCATCCTTCAGCCTGGTCGCCCCACACAGACTGCTGTTCAGTTGTTTGGTCAATGCCCCCGCCAGCCTGGTCGCCCCACGCAGCCTGCTGTTCAGTTGTTTGGTCGTCCTTCACTAACCCCCCTGCTGGCCTGGTTGCCCCACGCAGACTGCTGTTCAGTCATCTGTCTGGTTGTTTTGATAGTGATGACCCCTGGTTTTTTATATATTAGGATATACGAGGCTCCTAGAACCATGAGAAATAAAAAAATTCACTGTTAATGACTCATTCTCAAATTGCCCCCCCTTAAAAATCAAATTGCCCCCCATGTGCCGTGTGCCCACATTGGGAACCACTGAGCTAGATGAATCCCCAGCCCAGCAGAGATGTGTGGTTGATGGAACCCGTAGGAAGAACAAGGCATGGGGCAGCCTTTATCCACAGTCCCAAGCTCGGAGCTTGTGGGTCGTAGCTCTGCCTGAGAAGAGGCTCTGTCCACTAGAGGCACACAATCCCTCATCTGCTGTCAGAGACCAAGGGCCGTCCATCCGTCTGACCTGTGAGCGTACACTAATGGATTATACACACAGGGCAGTGACTCCCACTATCCTCACCTGCTACGAGAATGAGAAACGTTATTTTCACCATCTCGGAGGTACTAGTACATCCCTCCCCAGGAGTCCTGCTTGTGTCCCTGCCCTCAGACAGAAACTTCAGTTTTCAAACAGCCTTCCAGAATGAATTAAGTTTGAGAAACAAGGTTCAGTTGTAGTTTTGTCAGATTCTAAAACTAGTTGTGACGTATGACTCATTACAGGCAGTAAGAGCCATAAGCTGCAGTCTCAAATCCAGTGCCTGGTACTGCTGACTCTCCAGTCGGTCACCCTCCCTCCTGCAGCCCTCACACCGAGCACTCGGATGTCCCTCATGGCTCCAGGCCAGGTGCCCTCCATCCAGCGAGCCTGTAAGCTTTATGGATCAGGGTGACCTTCCCTCGTGGATGTCTTTCCATCTCCACTAGATGTGTCTTTCAAAGTCTCTAATTCCTCATCCTCCATGAAGCATCCCACAATGCATCCTGTCCTCACCCACCTCTCCCACATTCTGGCCTGTCAGAGAAAACATTGCCCACATCCATTTACAGTCTCAAACTGTCAGAAACAGTCTCAAACAGTCAGAAACTACTATAATGAGACTGGCAGCGGCAACAACTAAAGTCTATTTCATAACCAGAGGAGACACCATTCACCCAAAAGTCAGCTGGACTGTGAGTGTGAAGAGACACAAAAGACTCTAGAAGTACAACCACAGATGCTGAGGGCAAGTGAACAACACCAGAGACCTATCAAGTAAGCTGTGCATCCTGTGACTGAACACTTGGTCACAGTCATTGAAACAGATGGACTATGACAATATTGGATGTGAGGGCTGAGTTTAATGTAGGAAGGAGAACAGAGAGGAAACGCCTAGAAGAAATGGGCAAACCACCTATTTCTGCAAGGTACACATTATTTGCTATGCTATACAAGAGGCCTGGTGCACAACATTCATGCACTGGGGCCCTCCAATGGCTCGAAAAAGGAGCCTCGAATTGCCCGCTTCTTCCATAACTTGTCCGCATTCCCACACAGTCCAGGACCCCTCGGGAGATGTCTGCCTGCTGGCTTAGGCTTGAGTGGGCCTAACCCAGCAGGCGGACATCTCCCGAGGGCTCCTTAGCGCTGCTGTGGAGGCAGGAGAGGCTCCTGCCACCACCGCTGCACTTGCCAGCTGTGAGCCCTGCTTCTCCTGTGGGAGCACACCAACCACCAGGGGGCAGCTCCTGCATTAAGCATCTGCCCCCTGGTGGTCAGTGCATGTCATAGTGACTGGTTGTTCTGCTGTACTGTCGATTTGCATATTAGGGTTTTATTATATAGGATTGTTATTGAATCACTATTAAACTACTTGGCAATTTTCAAAGGGATTCCATGAGACCTCATGATGACATAATCCATCACAGATCAAAAATTGGGCACCAGTATAATCTAAAACACAGCAACAAATGTCACATACATTATATTGATCAAAAGAACCAGGTGGCCTGGCTGATGTAGCTTAGTGGGTTGAGTGTTGTCCTGTGCACTTAAAGGTTGTAGGTTTGATTCCCATTCAGGGCACATACTCAGGTTGTGGGTTTGATTCTTGAGCATGTGGGAGGCAACCCATTGATGTGTCTCTCTCTCATCAATGTTTCTCTCTCTCTCCCTTCCTCTCAAAAAAAAATTTAAAAAGAATATATTTTAAAAAAGAACCAGGTAGAAAAGCACACATACTATACGGTCATTTTTATACTATAAATGCAAAAAGTATAAAAGCATGTAAAACTCTCCTAATATGTTAGAAATTAGGTTACCCTTGATGACCTTCTGTTTTCTGATAAGAGTCCTGGCAATGTGAGCCTGTACAGTTTAAAAATTCATTGAACAATATAATAATTTTTATATATTTATTAATATAATAAAAGAGGAATATGCTAATTAGATTGGACATCTTCTGGCCATCCTTTGACTATCTGAGCTGATTAATCTATACTAATAAAAGGGAAATATGCTAATTAGATTGGGCAGACCGGACACCTTCCGGATGTCCTTCTGGACAAAGCCACAGTGGCAACGGCCGAGGCAGAGGAGGTTAAGGGCAATCAGGCTGGCAGGGGAGCAGTTAGCAAGCGGCTAGGCCAGCAGGGGGGCAGTTAGGGGGCAACCAGGCTGACAGAGGGGAAGTTAGGGGGTGATCAGGCCAGGAAGCAGAGGCAGTTAGGGGCGATCAGGCAGGCAGGCAGGCGAGTGGTTAGGTGCCAGCAATCCCCATGGGATTGGGCCTAAACTGGCAGTTGGACATCCCCTGAGGGGTCCTGGATTGGAGAGGGTGTAGGCTGGGCTTAGGGACCCTCCCCCCATGCATGAATTTTGTGCACTGGGCCTCTAGTATATTAATAAATGTTTTGAAAATCATTTGTCCCAGAATTTTAAAAAGATAAGCCTAAAACAAGATACCATCACATACCTGTCAGAATGGCCAAAATCTAGAACTCTGACAACACCAAGTGCGGGCGAGGGTGTGGGGCAACAGGAACGCTCTCTCATTGCTGGTGGGAATGCAACATGGTATAGACCAGCCGTGGGCAAGCTATGGCCCGCAGGCCGGATCCGGCCCATTTGAAATGAATAAAACTAAAAAAAAAAAAAAGACCGTACCCTTTTATGTAATGATATTTACTTTGAATTTATATTAGTTCACACAAACACTCCATCCATGCTTTTTTTCTGGCCCTCCGGTCCAGTTTAAGAACCCATTGTGGCCCTCGAGTCAAAAAATTTGCCCACCCCTGGTATAGACACTTTGGAAGGCAATTTGATGGTTTCTTACAAAACGGAACATACTCTTGCCCATGACCCAGCAATTGCACTGTTTGGCATTTACCCGAAGGAGCTGAAAACTTATGTCCACACCAAAGCCTGCACACAATGTTTACAGCAGCTTTATCATAACTGCCGGAACTTGGAAGCAACCAAGGACGCCTCCGGTGGCTGATGGAGAAACTGTGGTCCATCCAGATAATGAACCATCCTTCAGCTAAAAGGAAGTGAGCGATCAAGCTCACTGACAAAGACATGGGGGTTGGGCGGTGGGACTTCCATGCGTGTGACTAAGACAAGAAGCTGGTCTGAGCAGGTTACTTGGTGTGTGCTCCAGCTGTAATGTGTCTAGAAAAGGCAGAGCTACAGAGGCAGTTAGGAGCCCAGTGGCTGCCAGGGGTGCAGGAAAGAAGCACCAAATAGGCAGAGAACAGAACGCTTTCAGGGCGATGACTGCTCCGTGACGGTGGTTGCGAGTCATTGCACATTCACCCGAACGCCCAGAGCGCCCGGCACCGAGAGGGACCCCCATGGGAACCCTGGGCTCTGGGTTATGAGGACATGTCAGTGCAGGTCCATCCGTCTTAACTGAGGCACCACTTTGGTGAGGGATGTGGATATCGGAGGACATGCATGTCTGGGGCAAAGTTTACATGGGAAGCCTCTACCTTCCATTCAGTTTTGCTGTGAACCCAAAATTGCTCCTATAAATAAAGTCCATTTTAAAACTCCAGGGATATGTCATTACGGAACACGCAGTTACTTAGCGGTAATAACTCTCCAGCCGGGGAGCCTCTCCAGCAATTACAATGCAGTGCCCCCCGCCCCCGCCCCATGTAAACTCATTTCATCTTGTTTTGACTCCAGTGTAAACGCACAACACTTGACGTTTCTGAATTCCCGCACCTGCACTCCTGCCTGCTCTACAGGCTGTGACTGCCAACTCGCTAGAGTCCTCTTCTTCCCAATAAAGCCTATTGAGTGTAATTGAATTTATTTTTAAAAGATAAGCTGAGAGCTACCAACGCAGTTAGACATTAGACCAGGGGTGGGCAAACTTTTTGACTCGAGGGCCACAATGGGTTCTTAAACTGGACTGGTGGTTTTTTTTTTTTTTTTTTTTTTTTTAGTTTTATTCATTTCAATCGGGCCAGATCCGGCCCACGGGCCGTAGTTTGCCCACGGCTGCATTAGACCTAAGTCAGACCATGAAGGTTCAGTTCCATGAAACAATCCCTACGATATGCTCCTGCCCCCAAGGTCAGAGCCCTGTGTTCCGGTAACCCCCGGAGGCCCTCCCTCCACATGTACCTTCACATAGCGAAGCCGCCTGAAAGTGCCCTAGCGTTTTCCACCACAGACCGCTGTCCATCTTCTCTAAACCCAGAAAAGTCAATGTGGGGGTTGCTTCCTGCGCATAGGACCCTGCTGGTGCTCAGCTCCCCCAGTCACTGCGCAGGACCAATGCATGGGCGGCAGCTGCTGGGCGGCCGCACTATGACCTGCCACAGAGGTCACGGGAGCCTGTCATCCAGCGGGACACATAGGGGAGAGCAGGGCTGGCGGGGAGAACCCAATGGCCCCCTGGACAGGGCCCGCTCGCTGGGCCGATCGCTCAACCGGGAGCGCCATCAGCACTCTCCATAGGCCTTTGAGAAATAAAGCGTGTGGCTGTGATGACTGGACAGACGGACAGAACAAAGCAGCTGTGACTCGGATCGACCAGCGTGAGGCCCTCAGGACCCCAGGCAGGGCATCCGTCCTGGAAAGCGGGCCCACGCGTACCTGGAAACATTTCGCCAAGAGGCAGAATCCAGGCAGCTCAGAACAGAAAGGTTATTTTTTAAAAAGTACAATACGACTTAGAGTGATTTCTGTTATTCTGGCAGAATGGCAGCAAGGCTGGGGGGAAGGCACCCAAGATGGTGCCGGTGTTCCCCGGGGTTACGGTTACTGGCACTCTCCGTCTTAGAGGCTGAAGGTCAGCACTCACCCAGGGAGGCCACTCTGCCCTGTGCTCCGTCCGTCCGTAGGCAGGTCCATGGCTCAGCTATTGGCACAGCCCCACAGGCTTCTCACCTAGCCCGGCTACGCTTCCCCTTTACTGCTGCTTAATGCTGAGTCTCCCTTGGGGTGGACTCAGCTCTCCTGGCGCCTGTGCTCCCGTCTCCCCAGCTCCAGCTCCAACTCCAGCTCCAGCTCCAGCTCCAGCTCCAGCTCGCAGCCCCGCCCAGGGGACCAGGAATATCTGGCTGATGCACAGGCACCCCTGGTCCCTATGAGGATGCTCTGGGGCTCCAGGCGGGGGGCAAGGGGCTGCCCTGACACTCTCCCCTGACCCCCGGTGTTTTGAGTCCCACACCAGAGCCACTGCCGCCCCCAGTTCGTGATGGAGGGAGGAGAAGTGGGCACAGCCCTGAGCAGCGAAACCCAGAGAGGGAAACAGTAGCTGAGAAGCCCAGCAGAACCGAAGGGAAAGGGGGGCCCGGCACAGCCACACTGGGGTTTCCCCAGGAGTCTACATGGGCTCCCCAAGTCTTTTCAGGAATCTGGGGAGCCCATTGGAGTCGCCAACCAGGACACTCCAGCTAATTGTTGCCTGACACCGGCAGCCAGCACCCCAGGGAACGGTTACAGAAGCTGTGTTCCCTACTGCAGGCAGGAAGAAGGCTGCGGAACCCTTCCCATTAGAGACATGGGTGGGGCAGCGCTGGCTGTGCCCCTGGGCAGTTATGCAGACGGAGGGCTGCTGTCTGTGCCTAGAGCTGGGCTCCAGGAGGGAAGGCTCCCAGACACGGTGCTGAGCCGGCTACTCAGCCAGGCATCCCGCCAGGCCTGCTGCTCTGGGCACCAGGGCTGCCTGGGCGTGAGGACAGCAGGAGCTGTGTGCAATGCTAGTGGATGGAAATACAAATGATTTTTGGATGAAGATGTCGTCACTTCCAAAGTTGCTGAACTCAGCTGTTAGTTATAATAGGGTTTGTGCGTGTGTGTGTGCGTGCGTGCACATGTGTATTCCTGAAGATTTTCCATAGACAGGATACGTCATCTCATGAATAAAGACAGTTCAGCTTCTTTCTTCCCCACCCA